GAATGTTAACTTAAATATCAAATTATCTGTGTTTATGGCGAAAGTAAGGTCCCTAAAAGCACAAAATGCCCTAAAGAGCATAGGAAAATCACACTGGAATGACTTCCGCCATATCAATATATTACACCATTAGACTACCCCAAAACTGACTAACAACTATGCGGAATTGAAAACCACTTGAAATTATTTCAACGACCCGGGACGCGTTCTATTCCCGTTTAGACAGAAATACCTCGAATTTGGACACCGAAGTGAACTGAAAGAGCGAACTGTTGGTCTGCGGTGGCGGGGAAGTTGGACATAAATTGATGCTTGGCTAATTACGCGGCAATTGTTTAAATTTAAATTAAAAGCAGACGAATTTAGAAATTATTTTAGCAATGCAAAAGAAAGAAGAAGTGCGCTCGGAATTTACGCTTTCCGTATTTATTTTCGAATTTTGTGAATCCAACGCCCGGCAGCATCATCGTGTGAACCATTTGAAGAGCAAATTGAACGAATGGATAGATCGATCGGCAATTAATAACGAAACACGCTCAACAATCAATATAATAAACACAATTAAACCAGACAAACTATAATTATTACGTAATTGAGGTGGGTTGTCCATTATGCATCTGATTTGTATTCCCCGATAAAACCAACGATGGGGAACTGGAACTAATGCTGGTTTTCAGTTTTCTCGTATTTGGTTTGTTAGCCTGTTGATAGCGCTGATGTCTTGGCCATCGATCAGCGTTTGAAGACAATAATGGCACCTCCCCTGCCTCTGCGCGTTTCGTTATAAAATTCGCATAAATCAACGCAAATAATTAAGCAGTCGCAGAGCATTCCCCACGAGACGCTAATATCGAGAGTTTCCTATCCATCTGCCCAGACGCGGGCCTTCTCATCCCAAATAGACACAACAAATAAAATCCCAAAAGCAAAACAAAACAAAAACCACCTCAAAAACACAAATTAACAAATTCACTTTTTGTGGTTTTTACTCATTCGCATAGTGCGAAAATGAATATCAAGATTTCGAGACGAAAGTGAATCGAAGATAGTTGAGATAGGTTGGAGATGGTTTTAAAAGATTTAAGATTAAGATTTAAGCGAAGAAGAGAGCTCAGAAGTATTTGGGAAAATTATGACAGCTTAATGGGGCTTAAAAGGGGATTTTGAGTTTGGTTTTGGCAAAAGTTTGTCCAAATCATAAAGGAGAAGACTTTTAATAGGCCTTAAAAACATCTTTTATAGGCAGATAAATATATAAAATTTGGGAAATGAAGATCTTAAAAAGATATTAAGATGCCACCAACAACTTAATAAATTTTCAATAATTGGTAATCCTACCTGATCATTATTTAAATTCGATTATTACTCATCTTGATTAATGCTTACACAACTTTAACCCTTTTTAGGCAATCAGCGGAACTACATGTCCGTCAAACTAAACTTTACACATGTTCCCAAGAACAAAGAACTTGTGGACATGCAAAAATGCAAACATCCTAACCATGTTAGTAGGCTACTCAACTGACGCCTCTCGATACACCTGTGCCTTCGTCTTTATGGTAAATACGAAATATATATATATATACCCAAAAAATAAGATAAAAAACGAAACGCAACTTGGAAGGCGACTACTGGTCTTGGCAGCCGTCGGAGTTTGAGATGGAGTTGCCCCATGGAAACCGGTGTGCGGGGATAGTACGTTTTTTTCGGGGTATAGAGTATCGCTATGAGGAATGGCCAAAAGCGGCAACAATCAACAATGGCCATCCCGACAGCTGCCGCGGAGATAACTCACAACGCACGACGGATCGTGAATAACTATACAATGAAGTAGCCAAAGAGATATATATTTTTCGGTTTTTTTTTCGGGTGTCATAGATATGTGAGCAGAGGTATTTCTTATAGTTTTGCATCATTTATCAAGCTCATTTCGCTGGTGTGCTTAATCAGCGAGGTGGGGAAGCCAAGATCATCATGATCTTTGGTCAGGGAAGTGCATGGAACAACTATATATGGGTAAGGTAAACCTTTTATATATAGTCGCTTTGGGCCAATGATGAAATGCAATTGGCTACGCCCAGGAGATGTTGCCATGTTGAACGGGGCGTATGAGCAATCAAGGCAAATCATAAGAGAAAAGAGTAAAAGAAACAATATTTTCACACGCCCTTGTCGTGTATAAGAAAAAAAAAAACCTAAACCAAAATGTAAATACTCGTAGGAAAGGCAGAAAGACGCTGACTTGTGATTATATTAAAGGCATTTAGCCAACTCATCCCAACGTAGGACGTCACCAGCACGTGGCTAGCCATAAAAATAATGTAATAAAAATAATTCCGAACCAATTATGAGATATATACATATATATATATATATAGATGCAACTGACGCAAAGAGAGTGCAATTTTTGCATCCACCAAAAACGATTTCGTCATCTATTTTCCTTCTTTTTTTTTGTTGGCCGACGAGATGATGACGTTTTGAGCACTCGTGCCTCGGGAAAATACCCGTACTGTGAAAATAGTATGTGCCATGGCATGTAATCCGTTAAACTGGCCGATTTCATGGCCCCGCTGGCGTCATGGCTTATATACTATATATACCAATGGATGCACCTCACCTGGTCATATGTTCTTTGGCGATTTGTTTTGCTTCGGTTTGTCATCCGCTGGCGGGCACTTTTTGGCGCCCAACGCCATTATGGTAATATATAGCCAACTTATAAATAGAGATGTTTGTTTTGCCACAGCTAATAGAGAACTAAATTTCAGAGCATTTCTTTTATATTTACATTTTTGCAATCGATTGGTAACCCTTTGATTTGTGTTTTTACCACATTTTCAAATACTTTTTACTAACAGGAAAGTCGATATTTAATTGCATATCGAATAATGAGAATCTATTTTTATTGATAAACGGTAAATTCTAATTCATTTTTATTAAAAATAAACACCCACTTTAGCTCATCAAAACAAAAACCAATACCAAATAACGACCCATGTTTGTGTCTAATAACGATTATGAAATCTATTAAGAACCCATATAACATAATATTTTAAGGTGAAGGCTAATGGGGGTCTTTAATCGTAAAACCTAACCGCAGCGTGTAGAAAACATAAATGCTGGAAAACACTTAATAAGCGCTAAGTAAGCCGCAAGATACAGACGCTTAAGAAGTGGCTAACAAGTCGCTAACCGATTTTGGCCACAACAAATGAATTGGCAAAGCTTTTCAAGCCGTTGCACCTCCACACCGTCGGCGATTAAGTGGGCTTCGATAAAGCGGATACTGCAATGCACCAAATGCACCCCACTACCCTTCTCTTTCACTTGCCACCCCCCCCCAAAGGGGCTAAAAAGAAAAACCCAGAAGGCTGTGTCACAATTACCATCGATCTTCCTCCCAATGTTGGTGCCTCAATCGATGATGTTTTTATTCGGTTCTCGGTGGTTATTAATAAAAATGCATTGGCCATCCCTCCTGTTTAATGGTGACTATCTGTGTGAGTATCTATGTGGCTATCAGAAGCACTGCATCTGTGTGTGTGTGTGCGATGTGTTTATTGTGCAGCTTATAAATCATTTTGCGTCAGGCTGCGTCCGCTGCCGTCTGCTGAAACTGCGACGCTTTGCTGACGCTGGTAAACATGTGTACGACACCAATAGCAGCAACAACGCAACGGGGACGCGCCGCAAAAGAAAATCCACACACACACACATAATGTTCATAACAAATAAATATATGTATGTATGTGTCTGCACATACAGCTAAGGTCAAAATGGTTGTAATTGATTTAAGCTCGTTTTCACAGCTCAGGGAAGATAAAGAGGTAAGTTTGGGGACTTACATCTTTAAGATTTTGATTTTTGAAATTAAAATATTAAGAGTTCAGCATTAATAATATTTATTAATACTTTTATTTACCTCAAATTACTATTTAACTTTAGTTTTTAGGTTGGAAAATATTTCAAAAATTCTTCACAATTTTAAGTACACATTTTCCACACTTTCCCGAAGACAATACTTTGCATTCTTCGTAGTCAACCTCGAAACAACCTACTATTATTTTGACCACTAGTGTAACTGCACTCATATCTTTTTACTATTTGCTTAATATTTTCACCATTTTTATGATGCACTTTGAGCACTTTTCATGCAAATTTATGTCGTCATTGTGCGTTGTCCAGCATACCCCGCGGCCAGCCACGCCCCCTTTTTTGTTTGAGGTGTCTTTTCTATGTTTTTTTTTCGCCTGCTGATTGAGCAAACAGTTAGCTTCTTGAGCGATTTGGCAATGGGCGCCGCATATTGCGTATACGCCGCGTGTGCGATTAGCGCATTTAGAAGAAAAATACCAAGACGGCTTTAAACTTAAGGGAAAAACTAAAAAAAAAAACCATCACCGAATAACCAAAAGGAAAACCAAATACATACACGTGTTTCCATTGGCAAAAAAGTGGCTGTTGTTGGGTGAAGTAGAGGTGGAATTCGAGTTGGAGTTGGAGGAACTGCAGCAGGCCAGGTGATTGATATCGCAACCGTCAGGAAAGAGATTGCGGCAGGGATAAATCAAAGGCGGCAAGGGTGGCGGCAAAAGGTTTTCTGGCTGGTGTAAATGTTGCTGCTGTACGCGATGTTGCTGGTGTGTTGTATGTTGCTGTTGTTGTTGTTGTTGTTGTTGGTGTGCCGGTGTGTTAAGGTTCTGCCTGTAGCAGGAATTATTGTTGATCTCTTGAAACAAACTGTTCTCTGTGTACAGTGAGGCCTCGCACTTAATAACCGACTGCTGGTGATGGTGGCTTATATTGGTTGGTATATTGCTTCCGCCCTCTTGCTTCACCACAATCAAGCGAGGCAAGCCGATCGCGCATTATAGACCACGATTCTTAGTTAAAGAACCCAAAAATGATGATGATAATGATGATAACGACAGGCACAAAAACATAAAACACAAATGGACAGGACAACACAGATCAGATATAGTTTCTATATTAAGCACCTGTTTGGCGCCCTGAACGGCGCTGGTGATCCAGCACGACGAATTCCGATTTGGTTGATTTTCTCTTTCAATTTTCTTGGCTAAACAAGTGACCCGCTCTTTTTTGGCCAAAACTCTGATTGCAATAGTTATAATCGGGCTTCATTTTCCTGTCCTTGCCACAGCTGTTTCTGTTGTTGCTGCTGTTGCTGTTGTATGTCCTTAGACTTGAACTTGCTTCTCCTTGATTTTAGATTTTCTTTTTGCGGCGTTTGCGCAGTGGCCAAGTGACGACGTAAGCGACGTAACGACTTACGCACGCTATAGTATATAACTGGGTTCTCTCTCTATATATATTCAGATAATGTTGTAGTAGGAGGCACAAGGACGTTGCTTACACTTTACACACAGATACATACACACACGCGCACGGGTCGCACATCAACTGATTCCTCTTATTATTGTTTTTTTAGCTCACGTGCCTTTGGATGTTTTTATAAAAATGTTACCAAAAGTTGTGTTTCCAAAAATATCTAAGGGTCTCTTTTCTCTCAAAAAAGTAATTCGGATTACTAAAAAATTATTTATTACACATACGCAGCGTTGTCAGACGAACTTTATGAATAGTTCTTTCAAGAATGTTAAGCATACGCCGTGTTGTCAATCGTTGGTAATTATTGCACATACGCAGCGTTGTCGACCGGCTTCCGTTTCCGCATAGAATCCGACGTTTCGAATCAATAAAGAACAACAACTTGTTGCAATTGTTTAACTCTTGAGCACTCACACCTCGTGTTTTGTTTTGTTTTGTTTTTTGTGATTTTATAATACTGAACGCGATTTAGTTTAGAACTAAATGTGGATTCTATGTTTTAGTTTGAATGATTGGAAATTTCAGAAATTTAGAATCTCCGAAATTCGCCTCTATATTGGGTTTTCTTGTTTGTTTGTTGGATTTTCCGTGAGCGGTGGCTGTTTGGTTAAAGTTGTTAACAATGCGGCGTCTGTGACGCGACTGAACTTATCTTTACGGTTACACGCGACTATATTCAAAGCGTCGCGCGCTGGCAGCGCTGCCTCAGCTGGCGTTTCGCCTGCGCTCGCATAGAGAGCGAGTGAGAGCGAGAGTGAATGTGCAGGGGGGCGCAGCGTGCGAGCGGGACACGACCTACCTTTGCGGCCCGGCTATTACGTCATTTGCGGCCAACAACTGAGCGCAGCTCGTGCGAGGAAAATCGATGACGTCGTTGGTAGAGCGCTTGCGCCGGAAAAATACCTCTCCTCTCCCCTCCTTGCTGAGACTTTTCCGAATGCAGTGCAGTGGGACAGTTCGGAAACGGAAATTATGTGCGTCATAAAACAGACATTGGCCATCTCTTTCCCTCGCAGCTGAGATTGATGGCTGTTCTTGATGCCGTTTCACCTGCTCTGCTTTTCCCACCTCGCCGTCTCCTGCGCCAACAAATTTTCATGCTTTTCCAACCGCCCACTGGGCATCCTCTTCTCTCCTGCTGTCATAACTTCCGTTGCTTTCATTAAATATGCACAGGAAATAAGTTAAGTTAAGTTAATGATATTTAAGGATGACGGAGAGATAACTAGAAATATTAAGTTTAAGACTAAAAAGATATTATTTTTAATTAGAAGTAACTATATAAAAGTATATATTTTTTATTAATACTTTAAAGGTTGAACTAAATGTTTTTTTTGTTTAAGTACAATTTTCCTTTCTTTGTATTACTTTGTGTAATTTTTATAATCTATAATATTGCCAGAACAAAGTTTAAAATATAAACAAAATTTCCTAACTTTATCTTTTAACATTTTTCCTTGTGTACTAAGTTTGTGTGGGCTTACCTGTGCATATTATTTCACAGGGAACAGGACTTCCTTGCTATTCGTGTGTGGGAGAAACCAAAGCCAATTCGCTGGAATATGAACCAGATTTCAGGGAATATGTTTATTTGACTAAATCCCACGTTTTGGCTGTAGGTGGAAATATGTTGTTTCTATGCTGATGAGGAGGACACGAATTTCGAGAACAAGAATAACAAGCTAATAAAATAGAAATAGGAAGGATTTGACTGTTGTAGTAACTTAGCTGTTGTAGCTAACTACTAATTGGCTTACTTCTGTGATAAAAATAAGAAAGAACACATTAAGATATCAGTATAAATATTAAAAACTTAAATATATTGCAACTAAAAATGATTTGCTAAATGACTTTGGTTTATAAGCCAACTAATTTATGTTTTCCTCGGTTGACCTCTTTAATTTTCCTTGCTTAACTCCACGCCAAGACAAATCGATTTCACACAAAATCCCAGGCCAATTTCCCCTTTTGCACTTAACAATAATACCATCCTGGCACTTCATAAACCAGATCACTCTTCCCTGATCCCCGAAACATAAATGAGTTGCCCCACAAATCATTTAGGCAATATACCAAATAGCACGATCCGTCGGGAAAGCGGAGAATATTAATGCACTTTACCATTGACACCGGCGTTTGCAGCTCGTAAACAACAACAACAACAAAAGGAAAATAATAATCCAAAGCCAGTTGAAATCTTCTCTCCCAAGATCGGAGAATTGCAAACATAAAAAAAAAGAATTCAAAACCCGAAGACCTAACGTCGACTTCGCTGTCAGCGTCAACTGCACAGAGAGTGAGAGTCTTAGTCGTTCGGAACACGAATCGAAATCTTCGTAGACCCGAAGACTCGTCTTTCGAGGCGGTGTCTTCAGTGAGGTTAAGATTTCGTTTTCATTCGGCTTTCCTACGACCGCTCGCGTGTGTGTTTGGTTGCATTCGTTGTGGCTATTTTTAGACAGGTTCCAAAGCCACGTTTTCTAACTGTTGTTAGCGTACGAGCCGGAGATCTCGAGCTCTCCAATTTGGAAGCCCCAGACAAAACGTGAGATCGCTGGGTCGCTCGGCCGACTGCTACGTCAACTGAGACTGCGACTGCGACTGCTACGCCGACTACAACTGCAAGCAGCGACTGCAAGGCACCGACTTGAGTTTTGGGCGCAGTGGCTCTTCCTTTCGTTTTCGGCTAGATTTTTTCCCATAATGCTTTTAGCTCGGATCTGTGGGTCCGGCTCACAGTGCTTGGCCCGCTGTTGTGGCTCCGGGGTATCGGTTCGGTGTGGTATAATGTGCTGCTCTATGGTGTGGCTTCCCATGTACATATATATTAGTTGGATTTGGGAGCGACGCAAGTGGAACTGGTCTGTGGCAGGCACCATGTGCATGTTGTACAGTGGCTTTCGATTAATTGGCCTTCGTTTGGAAGGGCTTGTTGGCTTATAGGGATATTGATGTACCATAAAATAGATTAGGATCTGGTTCTGAGCTTATAAGTTAACTTAAAAAAAACTAAATATTAAAACAGGACCATGTATGTATAAAAAGGTTGTTTAAAAATCTTAGAAATGAGATAAAAATGAAATAATAAGATATTAAAGGAAAGGAAATCTACAAATTTAATAGGAAAATATAACTAAAATAAGACCTATATGGGGAAATATTTTGTATACATTTTTACTTCTTTGATAATTTGAATATTAAGAATATCTTTAGTGAATCCCTTTCTTATATATAAACTAAAAAATAAGATCTAAACCACTGTATGGGCTGTCTTTCTTGCTGTTGTTAGTGTTGCTGCTGCTGTTCCTTTGACGATGATAGTGGTGAAGGTGGTGGAGGTAGTAGTGCTAGTGGGGCTAGTGGTGCTGCTGCTGTTGGCTGACCCGCTGGTGGCCCCAAAAAGTGCATGCAAACAGCTTAGCGTTGGAGTCTCGTTGTTGTTGCTGCTATCGCTGATGTTGTTGTTATTGTTGTTGTTGCTATTGGGTTGCTTCCAAAGAGTTTCGATTGCTGCTGCTGCTGCTGATGTTGTTGTTGGCGGTTTTATTGGCTGTATTAAGCATGACATGCCAAGCCAAAGTCGCAGTCTCCATCGCCTCCTCCTCCTCCTCCTCCTCCTGCCACTCTAACTCCATCTCCATCTCCGGCCAAGTTGAAGTCGAAGTCGACTTCGGAATCGGCACTCCTTGCTTTTGTCTCTCTGGCTTTTGTCTATTATTTATTGTTGTGGTCGTAGCTGCACTGCGATGATATTCTAAATGTGCCGAGCCAAATTCGCTTCGTTTTGGCCAAGTCAACTTGGCTGGGCCTTAATGCATGTATCATTTTCGCATCGTTGCGCCGCCAGTTCGTGAGTTTAATTTAAGGAATTTTTGCTCTTTTTGATTGCTATTTAGGCTTTGATTTTGCTGCTAAAGAAAAACTATCCCCACCCCCCTGTAAATTTCAATTAGCATGCGGCACTTTGCATTGTTTTTTCTTTGCTTCATCTATTGCTGCCGCATTTGCAACGGCGCCTCTCGGCTCATTTGCATAAATTGCATTTTGGGATTCGCCAACCCTTTTTTATAAACTTCACTTTCGATGCCCACTTTTTTTTTTTTCCTTGCCCAAAAAATTGTGACTTCCTCTGGCTAACTAAAAATATACAAAAAAAAAAAAAAAAACCAAAAAAAAATAATACCAAATAGAAAACGAAACCAAAAACTCCGCTGACTGCTTAGCCTGCAGGTGCATTTTGTGGCGAATTATTGTCATTATTTTTTTTCCTGCCTTCGTTTAACTATTAATATTTGTAACTTCACATAAATATATAGGTGTATTCCTTTTCGTTTTTTTGTGCCCTGGCAATTTTGTGCTATTTTGTGCCTAAATAACATTTTTTTGGTGGGGTTTTAAAGGCGAACATGTCATAATATCATCAAGTATACGCCCAGTTGGCAGGGGTATCTCCTCTCTTCGGCCAAAACGACCAAATGCAATGAGGCAATGCACATTTGCGGTTTTAAGTGGGGTAAGTCGATGGTTAGGGAGATGATTTACGGGCTCACAGGTAAATTATGGCAGCGGGGGACTTGGGTATTGGATAAATATGATCAAATTCATGTTGAAATTCATGACTTAATAAAGCTAATAATTTTTTTGGTCAGCAAGAAATTTGGACTGCAGAGGATATATTTTGTATGTTATAACTTTATTAAAGGTAAATACATTTGCTTGTAATCTTAGAAACAACATTTGTTTCTTTACCAGAACTTTCTTCTTTAAAATCCCTTTAAACTTTACAACCAAAATGTTTGCCATTTCCCAGCTGAACTGCACAACTTATCCCATTATTCCTGACAGCTACGACCTTGAGAAAACGAACTCGAACGCTGCCACCCACAAACTGCACCCCGCTGTCTTGAAATTAAATTCCCTACGCAGGCACGCCATCCGGCGATTTGAAGGGGAAGCAACGGCAACCAGCGGATGAACGGATGTGAGGCATTGATTTTATGGTTTGCTTCCGTTGCGTCTTGACCGCGTCACGTCTACAAGCTACCATGGTTGAGAGACACACTCCACCTCCTTTCAGTCCCTCTACAAAAACCACAAGGGGGAGGGACAGAGACTGCCTCGCATTTTCGTCACGCACGCCCCTAAGTAGGCAACACTTTTTGTGGTTTGTTTGTCCTTTGCTTATCTGTCTCTACACTGGGAATAAAAACGTTAGAAGTTACTCATTTATATTTTATTTTAATAAGATTAAACTTCAAATTAATATTTATTAATAAGCTCGAATCTTTTTGCTTCTCTAAAATTGAGTAATATTATTATGAATGGCATTCTATTTTTCTCAATATGTATTTCTCTTATTACTAATCTCTCGTTTCTGGTTTTGTTTCCCATTAAATACGTTCCACCATTATCTCTACACAACCGTGTTATCAATAAAATTGAATTAACTGACGCAGCTCCTGCCCCTGTGGCTATATGGGAAAATGTGTATATGACGTCGGAAAAACCTCAGTCACACGCCGAATACTATAGAAGGGGGAACTGGGGCTACCGGCGTTTTGCTGTGTGTGTCTTTGACCTCAACGGACAAGCCCAAAATTATAGATATGCCTTTTTACGTGG